ATCACTTCTTTAGAGTTTTGAGAAACAACCATCTTATTTATTTGCATTGCAACCCATCCTAGTCCATTTTCTAGTAGTTCCCTTGCACTTGTCTTTACTATCTTGATATGAACTGCATTTCCAAAATATCCTTCTAGTAGAGGAGGCTTTAGTCTTGACCTTGCGCCTGTTGAAGATATAATTAAGTAATTTTTTTTTCTGTCCGTCTCAATTTATTACATGATACTGTTTTCTTACACATTCTTGACCACCACAATATTGTTGCCGAGGGTCAAAAAATATCTGAACTATCAGATGTGTAAGTTTTCTACCTGAAGTCTTGAACTATCACCGTATGTTTATTGAAATAGAGCTCAACTATCAGTTTTTCATTTTCCTTACCTAAACAATAATGATATTCTAGGTAGAAATTGAAATGAACAATAGATAGTTGAAATATGTTTCGATAAACTTTTGATGATAATTTAGATAATAAACTCACACACCTAAAACTCATGAAAAACTTGGAGATTATTTGAGTATATTTTTTATCCTTCACTCTAAAAACAAATAAATAAATAAAGGCAACATGATGAAAAAGATTATGACATTAGGGAACAAGGACTTATTTGGATCAATTTTATAAAAGTAGGCTAATATTTTAGCCCAATTATTGAAGATCATTTCCAATAACAAAGTGATCAATCAATTAAGAAAATTTTCTTATATGTCTTTCAAATATTTGAAATAGTTAATTATTATTCAAAATATAGAAATTTCATGCATCTATGTTCAAATTTACTGTCATAAGTTCAACTGTGTCACCTAAATCGAGATGCAGAAAGTAATTAAAAGTGTACTCACCTATGAGAATACCGATATAAACTTCCTCCCTATCATCAATCTTGCGACATCGCGTAACACATCGCCATAGATGAGCCAAGTAAGCTTGCAAAGAAGAAATCGAGTTAATACTCATTTCATCATTGGCCTTTTTCTTCAGTCTTGTAATATTTTCTTTACTAAGATGAAATACCCTTTTCACCAACGTTGGAATTTCGATTTTTTCGAATAATTTCTCATCGTCCAAATTCATTGGAAAATGAATTGGAACATGTATTTTCTCCGGAAAATAACGCTCTAAAATTGGAACTCTAGAAATAATTTTACGTCCACGAGAAATTTCAGCCCAAGAATTAAAGAAATGCCAAAAACAAGTCCCATCACCTAATGTATGATTCATAGTACATCCAATAAAATAACCATCAACAAGCTCCGTTATTTGAACCCCAAATAAAGGCTTGGTAACACCTTCGAAATTTCGAATATTATTCAATGGAAATAAAGAGTGAATAATATTTGGTACGTAGGTCGAATCAATAATCATCGATACACTTAACTTTGAAGCGTTGGCGTGGATAAATTCCACGCCAGCGTTGTTACAATTTATAAAGAAAGAAATTGTTTCATCGTCTGAATTTTTAACGATCGAAAATCGACCGGCTAAGGGTGGAAAAAAATGTAAGGTGTGAGAAAGGGATTTTTTTAAGTTGTCAATATTTTCTTTTTTTGGTTTGTGGAAAAGTAGACCTTTTTGGATAGTGTCAACAAGGAGGAATTGTAAATCCCATGGTGTTATTTCAATATTTAGGTTAACATTTTGTGAGTTTGATGATGCTCTAACTAAACAAGAGGAGACAACTTGAATTTCTTCCATCTCTAAGGAAAATTATAGCGGTGCGGAGGAGAGAGAAGATTTGTCTACGTATATCTATACTATAAGTTCAGATATTAAAGTTGAATTACTAATATATTCATCAAAATTAGCTGAACGGTCATTTTATTTTTTTATTCAATTTTATTAAGCAATTATTTATAAAATTGACATTAGTACATGTATAAAATAGTCATTCACGAGAATTCAGTATTTTTTATTCAGATAATGTGTTTGTATTAAGAATTTATAAAATATATATTGAATTATGAACCTCGTTATTATTATATATTAACTTGATATCGTCATAAGAATAAAAAATAAATTTATAATTAAACTCTATATATTTAAAACAATCTTTGATTAATGATAAAAAAAATTACATTCACGTAGAGACAGATCAAGAAATTGAAAAAATGAGGGCATCACCATCTTTAATAGAGACATATTTTGTTTTATTTTATTTTAGAAAAAAATGGTATAGACATGTCAATTATTTAATTCGAAATTTGTAATGACATTATTAGAAATAAAGACACAGATTTATTATATTCAACTACTTTAATATGGAAATGTATAAACAATATATTAAACTCAACTAATGTTCAAACAATATATTTAAAATATAAATATTACCACTTGTACTCGAAATTTTAAATTTTAAAATTCTGATTTCGCACACCACTTTTGAAAATCATGGTGTGCATCAAAAAATTAGAACAACAGCATTTTGCCTATTCATTATTTTTTTTTTAAATATATTTTTCATTCGGTCTTTCGAATATGTATAAAAACTTTGATTAGATTTGGCTTTTCACAATAATGGAGGATTGATATTCGTTTACCTTTGACTTTTTTGGTAAGATATATCAATAATTTAAAAATATAACAAACTATTCTCATCGGGGCGGATCCACATAGAGTTTGTCGAGTGCTAGAACATCCATTAACCTTGTTACAGAATATATATATATATATATATATAAGGAAAATTGTATATAATGACAAACTAATAACCTAAATTAAATGGAATAGTAAGGGATTGATTTAATTGTGCTCCATAGCAAACATTAGCTAAAATTTGTCAGCGTCTCTTCCAAAAATCTCGCTCGCCTCTCTCGCTTTAAATACAGAAGTGTATAATTTTGTTTCTGTTTTGTATAAAGCGAGAGAAAATCGTATATAAACATGCAAAAATGTATATCTTCGTGTTATACACTTAATTATACAATTTACAAACATTTTACTTCAAATATTGCAGAGAAAAAGGCCAACGAATTATACAATTGCGAATTATATAATTGCAGTGAAATACAATTTTCTCTAGCTTTATACAACAGAAGTGTATATATTGTGTTTCTTGTTTTTGTATAAAGCGAGAAAAACATATATCTTCTTGCTATACACTTATATGCAATATACATATATTTTAATTCGATTCAACTGTATGCAAAACAAATTATACAATTGCAGTGAAATAGACCAGCGAATTATACAATTTAGGCCAGCGAATTATACAATTTAGGCAAACGAATTATACAATTGTATATGTATAACAAATTATACAGTTTTATGTTTGCTATGGAGCGCAATTATGCAAAGTTTGCTGTAGCATACAAATAAGAATTTTTTGTTTGCTATATGTGAAAGTTGCCCCCATATATATATATATATTAAGAAGTATTTGTATAAAATGAATTTATTTAATTGGCCCATTGCACTTAGCTGATTATTTATAAAGACTCTTTTAGTGTCGTTGAACTGGAATTCAAATCTCATTATTAATATGTAATTTTTATATTTTTGACTCCACAACCTTAAAATTCTACCACTGATTTTCATGCTATGTTTTATTCAATTAGGAAATTGGATGTAGATATGGTTTCTTCCGTAATTAAATATTAATGAACGTTTACTCTATTTCAAAACATTCGAGCAAAATTCCAATTGACCTGTGCTAATTTTGTCTAAAAATGATAAGTATTTTTTTATTTTTAATTTATATGACTTATTTTTTTTAGTTAATCCTAAAAAAATGATGCATTTCTATACTTAGGAGTTGGGAGAGAATTACGTGAAATGTCACTATTTTTTGGACATATTTTGAATATTTAGGAGTCATTTTATTAGAAGTAGATGATTTTCTCAATTTTTCGTACCTGTTAATCCATAAATATTTTGATGATATTATTTTTTAGTTTTAAAATATTACAAAAAAAAAATATTACAAAAGTTTTTTATGTATTTAAATTTTATACGAATTAAATTATATAATCCCGAGAGATAATGAAAATATAAAAGACAAACACACGTTGAAAATGGACAGAAAGGCAGGTGTGTCATAAAATGAGGTGGGGCAAGTGGGATCCACTTGAAATTAATTGTCTCAAAATTGTCTGGCGATCCGTTTGATTTTAAAGTTTATTGGTTCAATTTGTCGGTCATTAATTTGTAGATATGTTAAATCGTTATAAGATCATTAAAAAAATTGATTTATTTGTTATAGTCATCGACTATTAATCGTAATCGATTTAACAAGTAAAATGAGACACTAACAAAAATTATTGAAAATCACTTAGAAATAAAGTAACAAACAAGTAAACCATGCAGATAAGCTGACAAACAATGACACATTGTAGAGTAACCAAGAGTTTGAGATAACCAAAAATAAAAATATGAAACAAAACTCTAAGTGAAGGACCTATATCCTAAATTGTATAAATATAATCATCCCTATAATTTACTATCAGATCATTACCTGCCCCATTAACAAAATCTCAAACTATTACAAAAATCAGAATAATAAATTAAAAAACAAATAATGAGTAGGTTTACTGTTGTAGTTGGTATATAGAGATAAAAGATGTCTATATCTATAGGCCCATATGGTCAGAGAGGACTGAATTTGAAAATAAAAAAACTCATTATTTTGTTTTCATTTTCACAATTTTTTTGATTTTACAAATCTTAGTCTAACATTAAAGTTTGTATTTTGCAAGAAACTTTACAAGCATTGGAAAATGATCAAGAATTGAATACCAATTAAGACCAAGCCAAAGGTATCCATCTATGTTTTCTATCAATTAACCAATGGCGTGTGTGAATTAGTGATCGATAAAGTGGATTAAAAATCATGAGATCTCGAATTAATATCACAAGACAAAGTGCTAGCCACTAGGTGAATTCATTTCATATATAGTAGCCTTAACGGATAGAGCTACCTGGTACATGTTACTTGTTACTAGTGGGGTAACAAATATCTCATGAAAATAATGGAGATCCTTACAAACTAGTCCAAACACCACAGTCAATAAAAAATAATAACAATGAAGCCAACACTATGGATGCTTTACAATACACCATTAAATTTGATTAAATTACAAACAAATTCACTCCAAAGCTCAATGAGAACATGAACTACTATGTATCATCAAGCATGCATATATCTATCTAGCTGTGACATTCTACAAATTGGAAATTTCCTATTTCTATGTAAGCAAAAACTAATAATTTTCCCAAAATATTTTTGAACCAACAACAAACAGAGTACACGACGAATCATCTCACGGATGATTTTCACCGATGAGTTTGTTCAGAAGTGTTGTCAACAGGGCATCCCTCTTTTCAGCTCGGGTCTCCTCTCTCGTTCTCCTTTGCTCCTCCCTCTCCCTCCAAGACTGTTCAATCATCATCCTATCTCTTTCAAGCTTCTCCATTGATGATCGCCATTCCTGCTCGAATGCTTCTCTTTCACGAGCACGCTTCTCTGTTGTCTCCCTCCATTGCATTTCAATCCTCAGCTGATGCTGAAAGAATTCTTTAAGCATTTCTTGAATATTATCAACAGCTCTACCAGTGTTGTTGTTAATGCTACTCCCAAAGCTGGCTTGTCTTGAAGCTTTTTCTGCATTGCTTGTTCTTGGACGCTTTTCTTTTTCGGGTTTCTTTTTGGGAGCAACATTGCTTCTGCCTAATTTTACTTCATCACTCTCGCAAGCATAACCTTCTTCATCTTCCGAGATTTCCTCTGAAGATCTGTCTCTACTTGTTCCGCGAGGCCTCTTCCTTGCCTGTTGGGAACCAGCCTCAGATTCGATCGGTACTCGATGTACATTATTCATATTTGATGAAAAGAGTGCATGAAGCTCATCAAAATATGGAAATTGTCCGCCATTATCTGGATCAGATGTTTCCTTACCCTGTGAAAATTTACAGCCTCCATCAAAACAAAATCAAAAAGAGAAGGCACGTTTCTCGACAGCAAATTAAGACTTAATGAGATAATCTGGTAGGTAATATACACTGTGAAAGCTCTTTATTAAGAGACCCAAAATCTGATAATAAGATTGTGATCCTCTTATAGATCATCTTGACACATCTCAACTACAAGAAAGCCATAAAGAGGAACCAACTTCCAAGACCTTGATGAAACTAAAGAACCCTCCGGAGTTCTTTTTAAATACAATAATAAATAGAGACTCCTACAGAGTTGAAAATCAATAGTTGAAGTAAAGACAAAGTGACATAATGAAGGGCTTAATAATGCCATGAAGGAGTTGCACATTTCAGACTTGTACTAATAGGACCAATTTACATACATGACCAAGAGTTGGGTTCTCTGTGTTTCGAGTTACCAAAACCATGAAATTCTAGATGTGATAAGACACAGTGTGGGAGTACCTTTCAGCCAAAACAGAATAGATGACACTGGATCTTACCAATAACCTAACTTAGAAGAAAACAGAGTATACAGCAGCAAGAAAGAGGACATCAAGATTCATGAAGGATGCAACTTAAATAAAACCAACTTTATAGTTTATACATTAGCTTTGATTCTGATTCTGCTCTTCCTTGAGCCTCTTACAGCACAGTAATAAGTATCCAAATATATGGAAAATATTCAAATCGGATCACTGCCAATTGTGAACTTAACTTGATTCAATCCATTTGCCTGCTGACATATGCCTCGCAGGCAGGTCAACTGTGGCTGAAATGTCATAAGAAGGCCATGAAGCAGGTACTATTTTTGGATATGCTAACTTTTCTAAAATCCTCTCGTTGTAGAATTGGTGTTATCGTGGTAATTCTAGACACAAACTAGAGGTATTTGCCCCCACTTATATTTTAGGCTGCACCGCAAAGTAAGCCAAGACTAACTGCATAATATTTATCCTATCATAAAAACATGTGTAATAGAACAACAATTCTATAAATCAAAATTAACCAAGTCAATAAAAGAAATTTGACTAGGAAAGTCAAATATGTTTTTACAATAGTATTCTGCTGGTCTCAACTTCTTTTACAATAAACTCAGTAGGAAAGATACTAGGCCTTTTTCTTTCTACGTAAGGCAATAAGCAACAAAGGACGAAGCTATAGTGGCTTAAGGTTGGTTAGTTGAATAACTTCGTTGGACGACTATACGTGTATATAGGTCAGATACTACTTTTATGTAGATATATTAAATCTTGAATAACCTTGACGCAATTGAGAGAAGTAACCAAATGACAAAAAGGGTTTCATGATTTAAAGTCAAATTGACCAACCTTGTAATTTTGCTACATTAAACTATTATTAAAAAATAACAGATCAAAATGGCCTCATTTGGTCACTTTGACTTTTTTTTTTGATTAAATATTAGGCAATTAGAAAATCCCTAAGAGTTGAAATTTCAAGAATAGAACTCCTCTAAAACACACAGAAACCAGAAGAGTCTCTGTCAAGTCTCAAAAGCCTCTCTTCTCTAGCTTTCCTACTGGCACCAGAACCTCTTATATTGTCTTCAGATGCCGCTAAATACCGTGTGTGGCCACCTCAATTGCAGTTTGAACCTACTTCTGTGGGGTTTGTTTGTCTGACTCCGACAGTGTCCATTGAAACTGGTTCACTTTTCTTCTCTTGTTTATTTTCTTCCAACAACAACTGATTTGTTTTAGCCATTGTAGTTCGAATTATGATTTTGAGATGAAACATAGTAAAGCTTGAAAATCATAGTAAAGTTTTAATCAATTGTTTTATTTAGACATAAAATACTAGTATCTTGAACATGAACAACTCTAGTCTCAAATCCCTTTTTATTTGCTTATCATAAAACTATAGTCATTTGCTCTTTGAGCGACACATCGAAAGATCTATCAAGTATCAACTAGCAGATTTAATTGTTTCAGCCTCACATACAAACATATATTTCTTTTTAAACATCTATAGAAGTCATTTTCTGTTTTTGAAGCATATTTCAATACAGAAAGCTCAACCTTATCTATTTCTATCCCCATACCACGAAATAATTTCAAAAAAATTACCTTTGTTCAATAATGATATTTTTTAATCATGATCATGAAATATCAAACCTTTGGTTCAAGAGAAGTCTTATCACATCAACCAAAACATTTAAGCGAAGACAGCATTCATGATTAACCTGATCCAAATTATATGTCAATTCCAACATGAATCAACTATTGTAGTTACACTTGCATAAGATTTTTCACATATTCTTTTTGCTTGGTATTGAAGTTATTTGACACACCAATATGTTTTTCAAAGTTGTCCTGTTAATTCTTGAACCTTGAGATCTTTCGCTTTTAAACAAATATCAAAACAAATAATATGATTTATACTTAAAACATTCTTCAACCATTAACAATAATCATCAAACCATTAAAGATTAAAACTTTTTAATTCAAAAGCCAGATTGAGGGTCATAATTTCGAGGTTGGTAAGGACCATTTTCTATTTTATCATTCTTATTTCATTGAGGTGATCTGGATGATAATAAAATTGGAGTTCTAATCTTTACAGCATTTCAAATCAATTTCTTGACAAGAATGAGACATTTCTGATTGGTCAACATTTTCTTCTCTGTAAGGTGGATTTTGAGATACCGCATTTACTTTTTGTACTTTACGGGAATTTTTGTCCATTGTAACTCCAAAATGAAGAAAGTATTGTAATAAGAAGAATAGTCACACAACACAAAAATCACAACCCCAACAAAAGGTAAAAGAAAGAATGGGTGTTCAAAGCTTATTGAAATTTCATTTCAAAATCATATTCCAAATGGTAATAGGCAACACAAATCAGTTTTATTAAAAACAAATAAAAAAAAGAAGAAAAAAAGAGAAAGAAGAGAAATGAACATGCTTCAGGCAGAGACAAAAGGGTCTTTAGACTTGAGAGAAGTTAGCTTCTTGCAGCTTCAACGCATTTGCGAAGAGGGTTTTTAGGACTTTTACGGATTTGTTAATACCCAGTTTTTCTAGTTTTAAGGAAAGGCAAACAAACCAAACTATGTTGCTTTGGTCTGTTTTGTTTCTTTCAAAGTAGGTCACTGCAGCAAAAAAACTGTTGTGTGACACAGAGATGACACCTGTGACTTTCAATTCATTTTAAATACCCTCTAGTCGTTGGGCTAACTCTCTCAATCGGTCAACGCCCAAGGGTGTTCAAGTTTCATATATATGTATAAGAAGTACTAATACTGGACCTACATAAACTATTATCTTCCGGCGAAGAATGTCCAACTTTCCACCCTTTGACAACTATAACTTCGCTCTTGTCCCAACCCCACCTTTTTTCTCAATTTTCATAAGAACAATGAAAACTTCCTCTCCTTCTCTCTTTCTTTTTTGAGCGAGGGAGGGGGTTGAGAATCAAGAAGCATGTTGATCGTTCCTGTACTTCTAATACACGAATACATGTTGCAACTTCAGCAAGCAAATCATTCATGCTATTTCTCGAGTTGTTTCCACCAAGTAGCAAGAGATGTCTAGAAAACACATTTCTCAAGTTAATAGAATCGAAGGAGATGAAAGAAAAATGAATTTTTGAAGGTGTGATGTTTGGCTTTCTTCTTCGAAAGAGTATCAAACTGTATTATCCTACAGCAGTAATGAAGGATTAAAGCAAAGGAGTAAATGTGAGTTTATCACTATTAGATCCCAGGTAACCAACCCTTTTTTTACTCGATAAGTTAAGTTTATCCCTATTGGATCTCATGCAATATACCTTGCCATAAGGACAGAGTAAGATGTTGATATTGCCCTTGTTTGGTTAGAAAGTACGAGGGCAGAAAATATTATCCCTCAACATTAGCATTCTCAATGACTGCAAAGTTGGAAAAGAAGGAGCAAGTAAATGTTTTTCCCCTATCCTTCCAGTTTTATGGAACATCTTGAAGGGTAGGGTGAATATTTCTCACAGGAGAAGCATCAAAAAGTTCTCTGTCCCTCTGAGAACAAAAATGGTGTCAATCTGACTATTGCAAAATGAAAAGAAGTGGCAAGATACAGCTACCTCCTTTCTGACCATTTATTATCACTAGTCTACAGCAAGTATGTGCCATTTGGAAACCATGAAGTTTATCCTCTATCTTGATATTTTCTTAATTTAACAGTAAATCACTAAATGTTGACAACCAATTCAGAAAAGAATGAGATTTTCTTTCATTCTTTGCTGACACCCCCATCCCCAAAACGCATATTTCGAAAGTAGCATGAAAATATAGTTGTTAGAAAAGCATCAGATGGTTGTGAAGTAAACTATTAAAGAATCTAAACTAAAACGACAACTAAATTAGGTATTATTATAATTCCTCTTTTTTTCCCAAAAAGAGCAGTCTTGACACACATATATCTAAACCTCATTGGGATTTCAAAGTCAGTAGATGGTCTTGAACACACAAAAATGCAAGATACATTCAACTTCCTTATCCTTCGGCTATTCCAAATGACAAGCTAGAAAATCCACAATATATATGACTTCTTTATTAGGTAAAAACATCTCTTAGGTGTTATATACTATATTCCACCAAGGGAAGGTCACAATCGACCAAAATGAACAAATAAACTAAGAATTCTGACTCCATTTGCACTACATACCCTCTCTGTTCCAATTTGTCAGGTGCAACTACTATTTTGAGGAACCAAACGGTGTTCTCTTCACCTGGAACTTTGTATAACATTCTTTTAGATATTTTAAACTAAAAAAGAATTAATATTTGATACTTTTGACATACTCACCCCATTTCAATTTCTAGAGGCTCGTACCACTGTATCATTGATTTCTAAGGAGACGGGGAACTAAGTCTAGTAGATGGATGGGGTCATTAGACCAGACTCTTCAAAAAAAAGAGTGCCTTTTTACTATTTTGGCGAGGCATTAGTTCTAACTTTACAGCCAACATGTTTGAGACTACAAGATTAAAGGACATATCGATACATTCTACCTGCCATTAATTTAATACAACAAGTTCCCAAAGTTCTTCATTACTTAAACTCATTCTCAAAATCAAACAAACAAATTGAATTACTTTCTTACTTAAACTCCTATCAAAGTCAAAATCAAACAAATAAATTAGAACAGATCGAATAGCTAACTAAAATTTATCAGGGATTAAGATGATAAATACCTTGTAACGATTAATCAAAGTCTTCCACTTGCTTTTACATTGTTCAGCACTTCTCCTGTACCCTCTCTCATTAATTCTAGCAGCTACAATCTCCCATAGACTCTTCAAATTACTCCGCTTCGCCGAAGAGAACTCCATCTCAAGCTCACCTCGAATTGCTATAAAATCCCTAGTCTCTTGAGTACTCCACGGCGGAACACGCTCGTCCCGCTTAGGAAACTCATCGTCTCCGCCTAAACCGCTGCCGGAAGAACCACCGGCGCCGGGAAGGAGGTGAAGGGGGTGCTGCGGAAGCATCAAACGCTGGGTAAATGGACCGAGTTTTTCATTGCTTCCACCAAACATTGAGTGTTTTTTTTCTTCTTTACTAAATTTTATTTTTTGGAAAATGGCAAAGGGGTTTGGTTTATTTAAATGAAAAAAAAAAGAGCAAAAAGGAGAGTTTTAGGGTCAAAATTAGAAAAAGACATTTTTTATCGGTCATATATTTTTGACATTTTTTTTTCTTAATAGACAAGTAAAGTATAATGGTTGGTTTGTAGGGGTAATTTGGACATTCTTTAAAAATACACCGACCAACGCAATATTTAGGTTTTACTTTCATTAAGATTATGACGATTTGAATTTGAATGCACGTCCTCGTCATTAATAGTTGTGATGGTAAAGATGGTTGGTGTTGCAGTGGATTCATGTGATGATGGTTGTTGGTAGCTAGTGGTGTTTATAATTGTGAGGTCGGTTGATATTAGTAGTTAGTGGTATCGATAGTGATAGTTGGAGTATGTGTGGTGGTTGACCGATGGTAATAATGGTATGATAGCGATAATTAATATAATCACAATGATGAAGATTATAAATTGCGTAATCACTGGTAAGAGCGGTCTAATGTTGGCGGTTGCATTAATTATAGTTGGTGATGTAGGAGGTGGGTGGTGGCTGGCGATGGCAATTGTCGTAGTAATGATGGCAAATGTGGTGGCTAGTGGTTGTGAATAGACAATACAACGATCCACAACAAAAATATCAAATAATTCATATTTGTATCGCAAAGTCATATTGTGAGGAGAAAATAAAATACACCCTGTCAAAAGCAATATAATTTTTGAAATTTAAACTTCAGATATTTAAAACCAAGATGGTTATGGCTATCTAACATTAGGGTTATCCAGTGCATTGTTATGTTCATTTCTTTGGGCTTTATCTAGTGAGAACTTTCTATATATCGAAGTTGAACACTAGAAAAAAAATGTATAAAGCCAAATATTTGCTAGACATTTATAGGATACAATCACTAAGGATTAGGGCGGACTAAGCTAAAATTATATTGCACATGAATTTATAAATTTTCTGGAGAAAAAAAATAATACTTTATGTATATAATTTTGAAAATTGATCTAATAAAATGTTAAACGAATCACCAGGTTGAACGCTATGATCCTACGATCTCATAAACACACCTCACCCCGTCCTCAACCAACTCGAAGTTTGACTTCTTCGCCTGATCCAAGATCCCCCCCCCCCGACTTGGGATCAAAACCAGCCCTAACCTTGACAGTCAGTCCTACTCTCTTCCCAGCCTTGACCATGAATCATAACTCAATCCCAAATTCTAAACTGGCATAGGACCAAATCCTAAATTGACACATAATCAAACTTTTAATCTCAAATTCGACCAATTAATGAATTGATCTTGAGGTAGAGATCACATCTAAAGATAGGGGTCTGATCTCATAATCGATGTCAAGTCTCTAGTCAGGTCTAGTTGAGTCTGAAGGTTGAGGTAGGCTCGAGTTTCAAGATTAGAGTAATTTCTTTCTTTTCCTTAGCCCAAAAAAAAAGAAAAAATTGAAATATTACATATGAAAAAAGCCCAATAAATATCCTAAACCATCCATTCTTCAATATCCTCCTCAAAAATTCTAGGGTTTCTCTTCTTCCTTCTTCCTCCCAATTCCTTCAAAACCCAAGCCTAATCAAACAAGAAAATCCCTTTATCAATACTTATGCAACCTCCAAACATATTCCAAATTCATCAAGGATTCATATAATAGCCCTTTTTTTCCCCGTAAAAAAACAGCTATTATATATATATATATATATTGTTTGCGTGGTTTTTTGCATTGATAATGATAATCTCTGCTTTCCTTCGTTTCACTTCATCTTGTGTGTTCAATAAGCTTACAAATCTTCGTGTTTTTGGTCCTGGATTGAACCCTTTTGGTCCTTACAACTTGGCTAATCATTCCTCTCGCTAAAGCCCTAATTTTTTTCTTGGTTGGTTGTTTGCCTCTGGATCATGTAAAATTGAAGGTTGTTTCAGAAGATTATCACTTGTTTTGGTTCTTGTCTATTGAAGACTTTTCTGGGTTTCTCTCATAGTCGGAAGACAGATCAATCTTGTTGGTCAAAGTTATTAGTTTTATGTAAAAGGTCTTGTTTTGGTGTATTGAGATTCAGTTACTGATATACAAGTAGAGTCTTTAGACTTGTTGATTAGGTTTTCGAAATTTCTCTTCCGGACACTGGTGAAAGAAGATTCTACAAGAAAGAATAGAATTGGATTGAGTATTTGTTTCAATTTGTGGCAATAAGGATTGGATTTTGGAGCTTTGCTTATTAGGAAAGCGGAGAAGAGGAAAATGGAGGAGGATCAGGTTGGTTCGACTCGACGATCGAGAAGAATGCGTATAACTGCAGGTGATACGGATGATCGCGGTTGGACTCCACTTCACATTGTTGCTCGGAAAGGTGACCTGAAACAGGTAATTTATCTTTCATGTATGTTGCATATATCAGAAGCTTAATTTCGTGTGCAATTACTGTTGTTTAATAGTATGATATGTCTATTGATTATGGTTTGCTATTGGACAATTTGTTATAAATATACATTATGTGATATTGAGTTAATACTAACAGGAACATAAGGATTTTGAGATGATAACAAAGGAGATAGGCCCAACATTAAAGACTTTTCATCGTATGATAGGTTTTTATTAAGGGGGAGGATTGTGGTAGGTTGTCGGTCAATGCAAAATAGTCCTACTGTATGTAAAGGACTCAAAAATCAGTATGGTCTTGGCGTTATGCTTAGCTAGTGCATTGGTATTGATTTTGGTCTCTTAGTGTTGAAGTTAATTTGGTTCTTTTCTTCTCCCCCTTTATAGCACATGTATTTTCTCTGTAGTAACAAATGGAGTACTTCATAATCCACAAAATCAGTGACTCTTTCAGTCAACATCTCCAACAACAGTTGGGGGATGAGACTGGTGGGAGAGGAAGTATGAGTTGGGCTCAGCTTCTTTTTTTGGCTTTGTGTGTGTGGGGTGGTGGGGGTGGAGTCAGGGGAACCAAAGCCCTCTTATTAGTGCGCTTGGGGTACTTAATGGAAAAGAAAAATGAACACAATTAACCTTCGAAAGTCATAGAAGTATGGTCGTATGTTACCTTTCTCAAAAAAAATTTATGTAAGTATGGTTGTGGTTTGTGATGTAACTCATTGGCTTATGAGTTATGTTGGCATAGAAGCAAAATTATGTTTGTTGGACCTATACTGTGCTTATGACAGATTACAACCAAATTCAGGGCCCCTGATAGTACGTATAAGTCCCCTCCTCCTGTCTTTTCCTGTATCCTTTAATTCTCTTCGTCACCACTACCTGCCTATGATTGTCAAATGTCACCAAGCTTCTATGGTTGCTTTCTGCTGAAAGTGCTTTATTATTTAAAACTGATTGGGACATAAGACAAAATCTTAGATTGGGTGAAAACTTGGATACACAGTATCTTAGCTCCTCTGGGATTTTATTTTAAACTAGTTCTTTTTTACAAGTTTCCTGTGCTATAAAAGTTTTTCGGTGTTACAGAACTCTTCAGACAGATACATCTTTGGATGCATTCTCCCTTCCACCATCTTTACTTTGGTTTAGACTTAACATTTTTTTCTGATTGTATTTCTTCTTTTCCTTGGGACAGGTTAGAAGGCTTCTTAATGAAGGTATGGATGCAAATGTGATGGCAGGAGGCCCAAAATCATTTGGTATGACCCCACTTCATCTTGCTGCTAAGGGAGGTCACGTGAGAGTTATGGATGAATTACTTGAGAGGGGTGCTGATATCGATGCTCGAGCCAAGGGTGCATGTGCATGTAAGTGCCTGAATTATTCTTAGTAATATCCAACATAAGGCTATGTCTTTCTTCTTTTTTAATCCTCACTGTTTATCTTTATATCGCTTTGTTTGTTCAGGGACTCCTCTCCATCATGCTGCGAAAGAGAAAAAGAAGAAAGCGATTAAATTCTTGATTAGAAATGGTGCATTTTTGCCAGATGACATCTCTGACACCAGGTTCAATCCACCACTTCACTATTGTCCTGGTCTTGAATGGGCATATGAGGAGATGAAGCTGCTTCAGCTAGAGAGTTCATCATCTGGCGAGGCCTCCTACAGCTCGGAAAACTGAGGCAGAATCGAATGTGTTCCAAGTGTTGTTGGTGTGTAGAGTTCAGGATGGACTCCTCTCAATGTTATCTACTGCATATTAAGTAGTGTCGTCAGTCTACTCAAGTGTTGCGTTTGGATTTGATATGTTCTCTATCTTTGTGATTTGCATGTTTGGTATTTTACCAAGTAGTTGTTACTGTGACTCGATCACTGTAAACAATCTCTCTCTCTGTTCACCATTTGCTATAACTGTGTGACATGTCGTCGAGAAAACATTTCATATGTGAAAAGTATACAATATGATTGTGGGTTTTGCGAGTTCTAAATAATTTTGCCTTGGAGCTGTTCTTGTTTGGCTCATAAGTGATGTGCAGTTTTGTCTTCTCCTTCCCTTGTATGGCTGCTGATTTCATTTTTCATGCCTGTTGAGAGCCCCTTTTGATAATTGTCGACATGTTATAATCTTGAACTATAATTCTATGTTTGCTTAGGTTTAATTAGTTTTGGAATTTGTAATCTCACCATTTATACTACAGAAATGGGATAAGTCACTCCATACCAAACAATCCCTCACTAAAAAATACTTGTATTGTGGTTAAGTCCATTAACAAGATGTAAGTCGAAAAATTGAAATAAGAATGCCTTCTTGAGTGCTTCTACCTAAAGAAACAAGACGGACTCTTCAAAAGTACCAATGGGTGCGTGTCAGATTCGCTAAAAGTGGTATATTTTTGGAGAATTCGAGACAGATGCGGTATCAAAAGTGGAGAGTCCGCGCAACAAATGGTCAAACAACATTACTTGTCATCCCAACTTAAGTATTTAATTGAATCACAAATAGTACAAAAAAAAAAAAAGAAGAAGAAGTTATCTATGGTTTACACCTTTTCTAACTCCATGTTGTGTTTATCTAGTTGGTCCTTTAAGTCCTTCCTCCATCCTTGGATCAATCTCTCTTGTTTAGCTATGAGATCAGTTTTTGTTTCCAACTCTTCTTCCATCTTCTCTATCTCCTATAGGTAAGAAATTACATAATCAGAAATCATTAGCAATGGTAAAAAAGGGAGGGGCAGTAATTACAAGTCCTTTGGTACCATTACTGATTCTATCAATGGAAGAGTTTCCTACATATTACCTTCCGAAGCATCTCGGGTCTTGTGGGCAGATCTTCGCGTTGCAACCCAACCAAATTAAGTTGAAGTTTTTTCGCAGCTTCCATGAAATCTCTAGCATGTCTCTCAACATCAACTGTGGAACAAAAACAAAATTTGAACCTCAATCAGCCAAAACATGCAAGGGAAATGCAGTGCTACAAGAACTTTGCTGCTTTCCGCTAATCAGTGGTTGGATACTCGTACTATCTAGATACAGAAAGGAACCTTAGAATCGGAGAAGAGATTGTGCTTCATCAATATAGAGAAGCCTGAATGATTTCCATAATATTTGATACATTTGAAGAGCATGAAACAATTAATGACTAGTTGTAGTCATCTACCCAAACAACAACAGTAACTACGCTTCAATCTAAAACATTGTATGTTATCTACTCATTCAAAGAAAAAGAACCACTTATGACTAGTTGTAGATACAAGTCGCGTTGAGCATATATGACAAATATAATTCTTCGACGAAATGAGTTCAATATCCTTATTAGTTCCAACAATGGCTGGATTCATATTGCACTCAAGGGTGTGGCCTAGCGTCTAATGAAGCTGGAAACGACAATGGAACACCAGGCAGATAAGATAGACGATTATGGACAAAACTACACGATATAAAGTTTCAAAAATAAAACTGATAGAGGAGATTCTAAAGCAAACCAGAAGTTCTGAATACGAAGGATATAAGTATAATATTTCTGTTTTATTGCTTTCTTCTGATTTATCACTATGCTTATCCTTCAAAGACACAACATTTGCACCTATTCAAGCAAACTAGTAAGAGCTGCACTAAAGGCGGAGCCAGGATTTAAAATTTACGAGTTCCTACCGTCACTAATGGTAACACTAAAATAATAATTGGATTCACAATCAAATATTTACTAAACCTTTTAAATGTATTTAGAAGGGCGGGAGAAAAGCTACTGGATTCACGTGAACTTGTAACTTGAGCGTCTAGATACATACAACTAAATGTCAGAAATTACTCACTCTGATGATATGGATGAGCTGAACGATCTATCGCCTGGAGTTCTCGTGCTGGCAAACAGGGCAGTAACGCAGCTTCTAATGCAACTACAAAGGCGGTCATGTCATCCCTCGAAGCAGAAGAATTCATCCGCGGTTCAATATTTTGATGTCGATCAACCGAATGTCTGTCAGCCATGTAACCTCAAGCAAATGAAGAATTACAACACTTCAATGGCCAGTACGAGATGCTATAACGCCCTTACGAACAAAAAATGAATCAACATTCTTGCAAAAACTTAGTAAGAAAAAACAAATACGAAGGAACCAGGGGGCAGATCCACAGTTACGATACCAACGCATCTGAATCCAATATTTTCGACATAAAAATTTATGTTTAAAAATTCACTAGAACTGTAACAAATAATAGGTATGAGCCCAAATGATTATATTATATCTTCAAAGGATGAATTCCCTGATTAAACACTAACAAGGGACTAATTATGTCTTTTTTATTCTTAGTTTTTATAACCGAGAAATCCTCGAGCCCTATCGACACACGGTTCGAAACTCAATGGATAATGGACCTAACCCTCTATCCTTCTCAACTAAGTGGGGGTTCATGGGTTCGGACATTACCCAATAGATTTTTCGTAGATCCTGTATTTGTACTATATAGTGGTACGAGTTGTGGGTTCGAATCCCACTATTTACAAAAGATTCACTCTCTTAATCCTGACTTCGTCTCTGAATTTATGGATTTTTCATCAGCAATTAATTAACAATCAAAGGCACAAACAAGAATATCTAATTTCAATCAATAAATCCCCTTTATGCATAAAAAAAAATAAAAAATACAAATCAGAAGCTTAACAAAATAATTAAAGTTTACAACTTTGAAGAAGAAAAAACAGTAACTGTAGTTTACCTTTGAGCTGTGGGTTGCAATTTTGCAAGACTGTAATCAGCAAAAGTGAAGACAAGAAATTGAGCTGTGGGTTTATATTTGGTGGGTCGGATAAAAAATTACCCGTTTATGTGCCCTAAATTGAAAGCCCCTTTTGAAGTATTCTAAGGGACATTTGGGGTTAGATGATTATAAATAATTATGAAATTTTTTCTTTCGTTTTAATTTATTTGTTGTTTCATACGAAATAATTATGTTATTGGATCTTTTTACTATTAAGTATGTCAACTAAAATTGAAAAGTTATGAAAAAAATTATTTTTATTTAAAAAAAAAACACTAAAAAGGAGGGTTTAAACTAAATAAATTGAAATAGAGAAAGTAATAATATTATATTTTGATATTGCAAAAATATAGTTTTATGAGTAATTAGTTATTTGGTGTAATTTTATAAGGTTTGACTATAAAAGGTGGTGGTTTTACCATGACATGAAAAAGTAATTAAGAAGATTGTTTCTAATCTATTCTTAACTTAAGTAAAGCATATAAAAAATTAAATATTTAAAATATATATAACAGTGAAAAATTTACGTTGAAAACAATTAAGAAGAGAAGAAGTAACAATCAACAAATAATACGACAATGGCAACAAAGGGAAATCATATAATACTGATCAACTCGAAGATATAAGATAATAGGAGAGTAATGATGATGATGGTAATAATAACAACAACAACAACAACAATAATAATAATAAAACGATAGCTATAACAAATAAGGAAACTAGACAATACCAGACTACCTACCAAACTTTTACTATAATTCTTGACCTTCATATCAGTCTATCTAAGGATATGTCCTCGGTAAGTTGTACGTGTATCATGTTGAGCCTATTTACCTCTTCCGACTTATTCAATCTACTTCTACCTCTTTTTATGTCTACTAAAGTCAATCTCACACACCTCCTCTTTGAGATATTTGTGCATCTTTTCTTTACATAATCGAACCATCTTATAAACTAGGGGTGCAGATGACATGACACTATTATACATTCATACCAATTTAATTTAGTATGGTTAGATATTTTGAAGTTTGATTTTGATATTTTACGATATACTAAAGCAGTGACCATAATTTATTTAACTTCAACTAATATATACTTGTATTAATAGAGTACTATGACTTCACAATCTTTTTTTTAAAAAAAATTCAATTGTATCATACTAACACATTATATATATATATACACACACACTCACACTCCTTTTGTTGATTACTTACATTTAAAATATATTTTAAGCAAAATAAAATAGTCAAAATTTCAACTTCTAAATATTTAATTTACATTTATACTATGTTACGTATATATTTATTACTAGTATTTATTTTATATATATATTAAAGGGGGGAAAAAGGTGACCCGTGAAGCTCATTACTTTTATCTTGTGTTAGGTTTTTTGACTTTTTGAAATTAATTTTAAAAGTTGATGGTACATACCTCCGTTCACCAATTAATTTGATATTATCTTTTTTCATATGTATTATTATAAATAATGTTAATGGTATATTTGGTTGAAAGCTAAGTTATTTATTCAAAATTATAAAAGGATCAATTTCTACTTGATAACATTTTATTCTTAGTGATGTATCCTGTAGATAAAAAAAATTCGCGTCAAGAAAACAATAATCAAGAACGAAAAATTATAGCAACAATCGATTTATTATTTCAAGTTCGATTGTTACAATCTCTATGATTCCTCTGAATTCGTCTTTTTAAATATTATTCAAGGTTGAACTCTTGAGCTTGTAGAGAAATCTGCAGCTTTTGATCCACGAAATTTCTCTAATTTCTTATTAAAATTCTTGATTCTCTATTTCTGAATTATGAGACCCTATTTATAGTTTTAAAATAGAGAAGTTGTGATTGAAACAGATTTAAGTGAAATATTATATGGGCTCTAGATTTTAATTAAATTCATATTTATTTAAATTTAAATAATTAAATTAATTATATTAATCCATAATATTTATTTGAATTAATATATTTGTAAATTTAATATAATCTGAATTATTTAATAAATTTATATTTAAATAAATTTTAAATAATTACATATCGATCTTTAAGAAATTATAGATTAACTTCTAATTAGCGATAATATTAGTAGTTATTGATTGTGACATTGATGGTTGTGATAATGACGATGATATTACAAGGGTTAGCAGGGAACTGAAAGTGAATGAAAATGTACTTCTCAAAGATATTATTAAAACTTTGCAATTGATCTTATTTATTAAGACTTATTAATTAGTAATATGGTAAAATTATAAAAATAAATATACCTAATGATTAATATTGAGTTCGAAGAAACAATATGAATGATTAATTAAGACTAAACAAAACAAATTTGACGACCTAAACCTATCATTTGTTTGAATTAAGATTTAACGTATAATTAGCTAAAACTAAGATAAAATCATATTTGATAGATCATAAAATCATGTTAGCTCTCATGGTGGAATTTGTATGCACAAATTATGCGAAAAATAAATACGTCATAAACGTGTATCACATAAATTGTTACTTAGAAAACATAATTCATAAATGTGTCATAAACATGTATCAGTAAAATTGCTATGCAGAATGTATGTGTAATGTATATACTAAAAATTATCAATGGCTCATCCTAGGCAAAACATGTATATTCAAAACTTGAAACCCTACCGGAGTTTCAACCATAACCAACCTCGGTGTCTCCACCGCCACATCGACCACCACTATCCCACTACCACCACCACCACCAACCACGCAAACTCTACCACCGTCCGCCACCACATGTTCCGCGCCTTTAAGCATATCATACTCCAATATTTCCACCCAAACATCCCTCTCTTCATCATATCTTCTCAACACTCCTTTTGATTCATCCACCGTATAAAGTATCTCCTCCGCCATCGCCGCCACCGGACCCCTCCACCCCGATAACATCCCTTCCGGCATATCATGCCACGTGTCCGTTTCGACATTATAAATTATCCCTTGTTTAGCTGCATCACCTTTTACATTCACCATACATAATTTACCTTTCCATCCAATAGCTTCAATTGCTTCTCTACTAAACTTCCCATCTCTTAATCCACTCATTTCCTCCCATTTCCATCTCATTTTCCGCTCGTTACGATAACGAGCGGAGTAGTGGGCTCGATTATCAAACTCGGGCCCACTACTGTTATCCAGGTCCCATTTTATAACTGATCGAGCTACGTCCAGGTTATAATGGGACCCAACTCCACTCGCTACATACACCGAATTACCCAACGCGCCTGCAGCGCACCACCGGCGGGGAGCATTGAGACGGGGACCGTGAGTCCATTTTTTCACCGTCGGATTGAAAATCAACGGACGAGAAATCGCCGGCAGGAACTGATCGGCGGTTGCAGCGAGGAGAATTAAGTTACCGGAAACGGTTACCGATTGAATCGGAAGGTTTCTGGAGATAAACGAAGGATGTTTAACGAGGATGCGAAGTGGTGGATCTGGTGGCGGAGGAGGAAGAAGGTGCCATCTCGATGAAATTGGATCGAAACAAGCAAATTCAACTTGATTTGTAGATAATAACAAAGCGTAAAGAGACAAAAATGGAGGAAAAGAAGGTGAATAGATAAGCTTACGCCATGAATGACAAACGGAGAAAAGTGTAGAAGGATGTACTTGATTTAAGCAAATTTGAGCAACATCATCGGGAAGTCCAGGTATCAAGGATTGATGATGACGGCGGTGATGGAGGATTTTGCGGCGGTTGACGGCGGCGCAGGCGGTGGTGGAGTTGTTCATTTTTTTTGTGGATTTAAGAAGAAGAAAGTGAAGAGATATGTGATAAAATAAATAGAATTGAAAAAGTGATGTGGTGTACATAGTGTGAAGTAAAAGGCAAATATTGGACACAAGTTATTATTATTATTATTATTATTATTATTATTATTATGAGTATAAAACAAGAATACTCCTTCCCTCTTTTTTTTTTTAAAAAAACTTTTTTATTTTAATTATTTTTCAAAAATTTTAATAATTTTAGTTGATTGATTATCTGAATGTTTAGTTTAATAATGAATCTTTGTTATTGAAATTATATTAGAAGAATCTAATAAATTCTTCTAATATAATATTAGGTTTACATGAAATAATAAATATTCAAATCAAGCACAACCTATATTAAGTATGTTAAAATTGTTTTTATAATTTAATCAATTATTAGTGACTGTTTTAGAAGGATATGTACAAGTAGAACCACAAGGAATCTTATTATCTATTAAATAAATTATCATTGCTATGCATGAATCATTATTTTCTAGAAATTTTGAAATATGTTTGTTTTTAGAAGATGGTGTTAAGATTTTAAATTTATGATTTAAAAAATTTATGTTCAAAATTATTTAATTTGATTGAATCTATAATTAGAATGTTGGCTTTGTCCTATTTTTGTTTGTATTGTGACTTTATAAAAACATGAATATCTTTTGCTAAAATTATCTTTTGTTAGAAATTAGGCTAAATATTTTTTTTTTCAAATGTATTTTTTTAAAGATGGAATAAAATAATTTGATTGAAGCATAATGTTCATACGTATCATAATAGATTAGCATATTTTTACATGTATTTTTTACTTTTTGGATATAATTTATATTCTCTTAAGCGAGATTTATATAAAATTGAATATGTATATGCACTTACTGTTTTAAAATTATATATTATTACGACATTTATGAAAAAATTTAAATTTAATGTGCACCTTAATTTTTTATTAGACTAGAAAAAATAAAAATTTATCAATAAAATAGCTGAGTTACGTATAAATTAACTCAAATATTATTGAAATACGTATAAATTAATTCAAATATCAATATATTGTTCTCCCAAATGTGGTATGGATGAGAATACAAAAGAAAAAGAAGGGCAAGAAAGTAACTCAACAAATTAGGAAATTTGTGGATACAACTAATTAAATGGTTAAAACTTTTGCCAATAAATACTTGTGATAAAGAGGGTAGATATGGAGACAACAATAAATTGAATATATATGGATGAGATAATAATAAATATACTATAAATAAAAAAGAGTAATAAATGAGAAAAGGTAGTTTGTATTTTAATGGAAAGAAAGTGGCTAACTAAAAGTAGCCTTTCTGGTACACCCCTTTTTCTACCAAATATTCTCTTTTTTTTTCTGCCTCTTTTTTAGGAAAATGTCTCGGATCGAAATTTCAGAGATAGTTAAATTAAAGTCTTATTATTTTTTTAAATTTTGTATTTTTTATAATCTTGTGCACCTTTTTGATTTAGGTGACATCCAGATATCTTTCACGCACCTCAATTGCGTGGGATTACGAAGTGTGTCACGTAAGATAAAAGTGTATATAATTACAAAAAAATAAGTTCAACGGGGTAATAAAACACTAGTTTAGTTAAGATGTGTCTCTAAAATTTCGATCACAGCCTAGGAGGTACTTGTGCATTCTGCCGTCTCTTTTAACCTTCTCTTCTTGTTTTTTATTCTTACTAATAATATTCCATGTATGTGACCTCCTTTATGACATATTTTTTTCATTTTATTTTACTTAGTTCATATTAATTTGATTAAAATAATTTTATAAATTGTTTTAGAGAAAATTAAGTTTAAATACTAAGTATTTTTTTTAATTTTAATTTATATGATATTATTTTATTTAATAAAAATTTAAAAGGAAGAAAATATATTTTGAAATTTATGATATAAAACAAGTTAGAGATATATGTGTAACTATAAATCATTCCATTGAAAATTTTAGTTTGGACAAATCCGTTTAACAAATTTTAGCAGAATGGTATTTTACCTATATTATTTTACATTTTTGAACATTTTTAGCCTTTTAATTTTATTTTAACTAAAAAATAGAAAAAGACTAGTTTATTATAAAATTTCAAAAAATTATGAACTTTTTAATTTTATGACCAAATTTTCTGATTATTTAGCATTACTCAGTTAGTTAGTCAAATAAAATGGTGATTTTATGATTGTCAATAATTTAAGGACGAAATTAATCATTTACGTCAAATTTAAGGATGTATGATAAACTTTTTTTTTAAAAAATATATATCTTAAGTATATTACATGGTTTTTTTAATTAGAAAAATAATTGTAATTGTGGCTTAAAAAGTAAAATAAGAAATTTTGACAAAATTCTTTAACTTATAAAAATATTGAAAATACTGTTTTTTTTTTTTCCTTTTCACATTGTCTATCTAGTCCATCAACTTGTTGACAACTTTGTAGAGACAATAAGTGTATTTATCACATTGTGTATCTAGTCCATTAGTTTTTGATAACTTTGCAAGAGATCAAATTCATTACATGTCAACAATGTGAACAAGAAATCTATCACAAAAATATTAGACGAGCTACACAAGTTTTGTGAAATGAGCTTAACTGTTAAAAAGTACTAGTAAAAAATTCAAATATCAATTTTCAATCTCTTTTACGAGATACTATTTGTTGCACTCTTACACTAACTTAACCATTCTATGGAAATTTTCATTCATTTTATATGCTATAATTAGCACAAAGTTGTCAAATAATTTTATTACAAATAAGAATTACAAATAGAGGTGGTTGCAATATTTCAACAACATATACATTTGAATGATTACTTAATTAAAATTGTTATCGTAAAATGTTATTTTCTTTCAAAGTAAGTGGTCGTAACAAATCATTTTGACTGATTAAATTTTTATTCTAAAATAATATTAGGATGAGACAAATTCGTTATTTCTTGACTATATAATTATTATTTTATGCTAATCAAAACAGTAATTTATAAGCTTATATATCCTTCTAAAGATTTGATGACTTTTTCTTCCATTATGAAAAGGACTATAAGCTTAAATAATTATCTCAGTATTTTGTCACGTATTGAGTTGATTTTTCCATTTAAAAACAAATATTTTTCATATATTATTTAAGTTATTCATTTTTCAAAAAAATTATATATTAATCTTTTTATTTAGTCATAACTAACTTGTAGAATATTATTTTGACACTTTTAACTTTGAGTTAACAGATAAAAATGTATTTAAAATATCTCGACTTTTTAAGTTCCATTTATGTTATGAGTATATGAGTTTTTTTTTTTTAATTTATACTATATCATTAAATATTTATCGAAATACCTCAACTATTAATTATTCACTTTTTTTTTTTAACAATGACGATATTTCAGATTGAAAAGTGAATTGAGGTGTGTTCGATAAACATTTGGTGACAATTTATGGGGAAATTAATGTATTATTTATGTAGGATAGAAGATATAACTAATATATGTATAATTGATTATCTCTGCATATCTAATATTTATATAAAATAATATATAATTTCACTCATAGCTAATACATAACTCTAACTTATTATCGAACGACCGTTAAATGAAAAAGTTTAAACTTTATTCGGATTTTGCGAGGGAGGAATTCGAATTATTGTGATGATTCATAAAGTGTAATCACAAAAAGATTGAAATATAAATCATAATATCTTGAAAAAACATAATTAAAATATTAGTCATTTCTCTTTTTATTTATTTTGGTTCTATACTAAAATTCTTAAGAGATTATAGAAACCACAATTCTAATTCTAGCTCCTAACTCCATTTACTAAAATAATATTTAATCTTTCTCAATTTATTTGTTATAATTTTTAAACTTTAGTTTTTGTTTCTCATTTTGTGAAGCTTTAATTAAATTTGAATCGTATATAATAGGACTGATTTTGGATGCGGTACTCATAATATGATTTTCTTTGTATTAAAGATTCAAACTTGACACCTCTGATTAATGGTGAAATAATTTCACCGTTACACCATAATTCATGTTGATTATTTTAGCTTAATTATTCTGAAAATAATGTTTTTTTTTATAGAGATACTCACTTTTTTTCTTTATTTTATTTTAGGTTTAATAAGATAATTTATATCTAAACAAATATTTAGAACTTGTTTTCGCATGTGTTTTGTTTATTTTATTTTTAAAATTTTTGTGATCAATCAAATATTGTGGTATAAAGTAAAAAGAAGTAAGAGAGTATAATAATTATTCAGCCATTTTCCAACCCCTTTCATAATAATATTTAGTGTTTTTATTTATTTGTTTTATTTAATCCATTTTAATATGAACATTTTTTCTATAATTTGTTAATTCTAAACCATTTCACAATATTTATTATATAAAAGTTAAAAATATGGTGATACATTTTAAATATAATTAGCTTAAAATTATAAGATTTAACTTTTTTAAAATTAAATTATGTGAGTAGATAAAATTAATCAAACAAATTAAAACGGATCGCATAACTTTTAATTTATTTACCATCATTATTTCATTCAAAATTTCAAATAATAATTCCCCCATGCAACTATACTCAACCCCTCTTTCAACATCCCTTGTGGGTCACAATCACCTAATTGTATGGTTGTGAAAAATAATGGCAAATTGAGAATTTTTTTTTAAAAAATAATTATTAAAATTTTGGCTGATGAGTCACACTCACAAAAAAGTTAAGTGGACATAAATATTACAAATGAAAAGCTGCAAAAATAAATAAATAAATATTCAACACCATATTTATTTATCAATCAATATTTCAGTGGCGTATATAAATTTTTTTATAAATAATATATTTGAGGTGAAAATTAAAAAAAGAGTTAGATTATATGATAAAATTAAAAGACCACATCAATAATATAAATTTCCCCCAAAAATACAAATTTTAGCTGCAATGATTATAAAAGTTCACAAAATAAAATAAGTTGGATTTTTGGGAGAATTTTAAAAATGAATTTTAGTTATCAATGAAATAATAATATTTTTTAAAAGATTTATTGTTACTAGATTATTGAGTAGTTTTTGAACGGTTTTGTAAAATTATTTATTGGATTATCGGTTCGATTTTGATTCTA